ATGTTACTCAGCCATAAAGAAGAATAAAACTATGGCTGGTAAATGGATGGAACTGGAGAGTATCATGCTAAGTGAAATAAGCCAATCCCCAAAAACTGAAGGCTGAATGCTGTCTCTGATATGTGGATGCTTGCACAGGATAAGGAGTGGGGGAGAATAGAAGTTCTTTGGATTAGACAAAGGGGAATGAAGGGAAGGGGTCAGGAATAGGAAAGACAGTAGAATGAATCAGACATGACTTTTCTATGTTCATATGGGAATATACGACCAGTGTAACTCTACATCATGTACAACCACAAGAGTGGGAAGTTATACTCCATGTTTGTATAATATGTGAAAACACACTCTACTGTTATGTATATCTAAAAAGAACAAATTAAAAAATTGGTAAACTGATTAGAAGGCATGATGCTTGGCAATTTATTATAAACATGAAAATTTATTAAGTAAATCTGAAAGCAGACAGCCTAACAGCAAAAGCATTTAGGAATGAAGTAAAATGATTAAAAACTCAGAAAAACCTGGAAGGTTCAGGAGATGACATAAATTATAATATGTAATATATAACTATCAGAAAGTCTGAGAGGGATTTATGAGAATGGAATAAGTTCTGGAGTATTTTCCCAAACACACACAAAAAAATGACCATGTCTGTTACTGGGCCACAAACATCAAATATAAGGCTGTGGTAGCTGCCTCCAAGATGGTGCCCAATGGTGCCCACTTACTGGTATTCACACCCCCCATAATCTCCACCTCTCACGTTGTGTAACAGTAGTCCACTTATGTTTTTAATACAGCCCTTGCTTCCCTACCATTGCAATTTATTTTTAAAAAGATATGTTTCTCTTCCTCTTTTTCTCCTCCTTCTTAATCTCTCCCCCTCCCTAATCTCAGGGGAAATAGGATTGCATTTCTTCCTCTTCCTGGGCAGAGTTCTGTGCTTGAGCACACACTCACCACAGGAATGAAATAGTTCAGACTTTGGGGATGGTGCCAGAAGATCTCAGAAATGACTATCTCCCAAATTGAATCACAACTCCAGACAGAGGACATGTGGAATGTTGTCTTTGAATCACTTCTTAAAAAACACTCTGTTCTCCCAGAAGGGCAGAACACAGCCTCTGGGACAGGACTTCTCTGTGTCTTTTGCTAGTAAAACAATGAAACTTATTTTTTCTTTTTTTCTCAAAACTGTGTCCCAGTTATTGGATTGGCACTGATTGGGGACAAGAAGTGAGTTTTCAGTGACAATTGTACCAGGCTAAGTCTGAGTAACCAACTCCAGAAGAAATGATATGTTCAGGATTCAGTTAAGAACACACTCCTATTTAGTCATGCCCCCTCTCTTAATCTCTAATCACCCAGTCGGGAGGAAGATAGCTGTCATGGTCCAAGCAGCCCTCAAGAGAAGCCCGGGTGATGAGATTCTGGGGGCTTTGTCCAAAAGCCTCAGAAGAACTGAGAACCCTTGTCTACAGCTTGAATAGAATCCTCTAAACTGAAACTTCCAGGTCACAGCAGCCCTATCCAAGAGCTCATCTATAACCTCATGTGAGACTCTGAGATGAAAACACCCAGCCATTGCTCAGACCCAGGTCCTCAGCCCACAGAAACCATGTGGGATAATAATAACAATAAATATTTTGAAGTTGCTAGATTAGGAGCTTATTTTTTTATGGAGCAAAAGATAACTAATTCAAGGTCAAAGGAATTACCATGTGCTATTTTGCAAATGTGATGGGAAAACTATATCCTACCATATGTTCCTTAAAGTATTTACTCTAAGAATTAGCAGATATTTCTCATTTCTACTTTCCCAGATGAAAACTTTTGCAAGCCACTGAAAATTTGTTTTTAGTTTACTATTTAATAGATACTTCTGATCTCCTTCTTAAATGATCTATAAAGACCTATGTAATCTGTGTGCTTATATTTATCTCATCTACCACTTTCCTTCTTTTTTTTCTTCACATCATCCACATTAACTTTCTTTATGTGTCTGGAACATTCCAAATACTTCTATCTTCAAGGTCCTCGCAAATATTAGTCTTTTTATTGTCACTTCTCTTCCCCTATTTATCTGAATAGCCATGTGGCTCACTTTCTCTTCCTTCAAGTCTTTGCTCAAATATCTCCTCATGAGCAGGGCCTGTCTTGGAACATCATACTAAAAATTATAACCACACCCCTTCACACTCCGGACTCTCCTTATCTTGTTTTATTGCCCCTTACCAGTTGTAATGATTTTATTGAATGCTGCTTCTTACTGGAATGTCAGATCCAAAAGGTCAAAGATTTTTGTCTCAGTAGCCCCTTATCCACTAATGTATCCTCATTGCCTAATACAATGACTGACACTGAGTAGGTGCTCAATAAATATTTGTTATTATGTAAGTAAGAAAAGTTCTTTTTTTCTTTCTTTATTTTTTACAATAGCTATTACCCTGGAGAAAGGGTGACTGCCTATATTTAAATTTCCTAAGAGGACTGCCCACAAACAGAAACTTTGCTCCAAAAGCAAACCTTAGGGTTTTTTTTTTTTTTTAAAGTATGCATTTGAATGAGTTTCAAGAAAGGGTTAAGGTGCAAAAGAACTGCTGAGGTTAACATCAACATTGACCTGTGAACTTATTATCTCAATTAAAATTTTTATCACCATACTTTCCAAGAGCAATGTGACTTAGCAGAGATGCACACAAAAAGACTCCCAGGTTTTCCCTCTCAATACCCAGAACAGATGTACATAATTTTTATTACCAATTTTGCATCAGAGAATGTTACTCACTGTACCTAGTAAAAACGAAAGATGTAAAGCAGATGTTCGTTCTAAAAAATCTAAGAGAGCTAAGACAATCAATTGTGAATACATCTGGAAGCCTTATTTAAAAGAGATTATAATGAAATGAAAGGCCCAGGAGAACCAGCTTCATGGATATGTGCTGTGTGACAGGTGCAGGAGCCTGTGCTTAGAAGGGCCCGTCACTTTTACTGTTGCCATCTTGAATTTCTTAATACTTTCTGAACATGGAATCTCCATTGTCATTTTACACTGATCACTACAAATTATGTAGCCAACCCTAAAGCCCATGAGGATTGTATGTTTTACTCTTTCACTGTCACTTACTGCCTAAGGGGGTAGGTAGAGATGGAATGCTCAGAAAGTCAAACAGGAATTTCTCTCAGATTGATAATCCAGGTGTATTAGCAAACTTTCCATTACTATAACAAAATACCTGAGACAGTTCACTTATAAAGATAAAAGGTGAAGTTTGGTTCATAGATCTATAGGTTCTAATCCAAGACAGGATAGTTCTACTCCTTTGGACATTTGATAAGGACAGCACATCATGATGTTAGGGAACAGACAGATGGGAATGGCAGGAACATGAGGTTAAGAGAATAATTATGTAAAATGGGCCCACTGTGCTGACCCTCACATGCTTTCTTTTCCAAGAAGCAATTTACCTGCAGCCCTGCCTGGCCTAAGTGGACAGGATATATCACATTCCTCAGCAAATCACCTGTTGTCTTCAGGAGAAATGCAGGCCCAAAATGATGTCAATAAGAGGAACTCAAGTTACCCTGGTGGTGAGTGGGGGGACTTTTGCATGCCCTTTCATAGATGAGATCCCCAAACTCAGAGAGATAAGGATAATTCTTCCTAACCATACAATCTGCAAAAATTTATGGTTCTAATTATAACTGGCCAGCATTAGAGCCAGGCGTGGAAGCCACTCTGGAGGCCCAGACAGGAGGATCACGAGTTAAAAGCCAGCTTCAGCAAGGGCAAGGTGTTAGCCAACTCAGTGAGACCTTGTCTCTAATAAAATACAAAATTGGGCTGGGGAGGTGACTCAGAGGTTGAGTGCCCCTGAGTTGGATCCTGTTACCCAAAACAGAAAGAAAGCCATTACAATTGGTCAGCATGGGCTAAGGTGACCTTGAGTTGTCGTAGCAGTGGGTACTTGCAAGCCTGACTTCATCATGTTGTCACTCAAAAGTCAAGAGGTGGACCTAGGCAGGACTCTCTGAAACTTCTCTGGGATCCCCAATAAAGCCGGTATGAAGAAGAAGCATGCTCTCTCCTTCCGGAGGAGACAGCTAACAGCTCTTAAAACGTATCAGGTAACTTATAAAGCACTTGACATGATTAACTTAAGTAAAATTTCATTACAAACTTAAGAAGTAGGTGCCATCTCTGTCCTTTGTAAAAAGGAAGGTCCACAACATTATACATGAACACTTGTTTATTTTCGCACAACCGTAAAATTTTGTCACGTGTTTATAAAAATTGGCTTCATGGATGCCTCCGTGTAAGTTCACGCACTATATTTCAGGTCTTGAATATTAGCAAAGCATCATGGAAAGAAATGAAAATGGGGCCAAGTTAAGTTATGTAATGTTTTGAACAACCAATAAAAAAAAAACAAAAAAAAACAAATTGATATCCTTATTTCTGCAAAAAAATTATATCTATAAAATGCAGTGCAATATGTAACATCACCTAAGAGGAATTCATATTATATTTGTGTTATTTGCTAAAAATATTATTTAAAAACCAAATTAAGTTTCCTAGGTTCTGAGTATGTATGTAACTATTATACAGAATCAATTCCCACTAAAGTAATAAAAAGATTTTCTGCTATTAAAAAAAAAAAAAATTCAACAAACAGCCAGAATCATCAATCAGAGATAAAGGGAAGAGAGATAAAGGGTCTCCGTCTAGAAGTGCGGGAAAGGCAGTTGTCCTTTCCTGTTACTGTATACAACGTGCTCCCAGGGGAAACCCTGACACTCAAAAGCGCGTGGTCAAGTCCTTGAGTATCTTTAAGATTTACAAATAAAATAAAAACCCCAGCAAGAATCCCAACAGCTTCCAGCTCTCTGGAGTCCCAGGTAGGAGCCATGGGGACGCCCACGGAGGGTCACCTCCCCGGGACCCGGGACCGCGCTGGCCCCTCCCGCTGGCCGAGCCCACGGATGGGGAGGAGCCGCGAAAGCGAAAGCCGCCGCGAGGGCAGCGGCCGAGCTCCGCGCGGGATGGGGCCGCGGGCGCCGCGGTGGCTCTGGACTCTGAGCTTCTGGTGCCTCCTGGGCCGCGGCGAAGCGGGTCCCCGCGCCAACGCCATCCGCACCTGGCCGCGGAGCCGCGAGCAAGAGGCAGCCGCTTTCCGGGTATCGCGCCTGTTTCCTTCTGTCGCCTTCCTGTCCCGGATCTGGGCGGGGAAGATGGACCCCCGCGGGTGGACGCTCCCAGAGGGTTCGCGGTTGCGTGATGCGCCCGGGGCTTAGGAGCCGCGTGTTCCGGGGGGGTTCTGGGTGGCCCACGCGCCAGGGTCTCTAACATGCATTTCTAACCAAAAGATCTTTCACCATGGACTTGTCAACCCAAGGTAATCGATGGATATAGCTACAAAATGTTGATGGACAAAAGCACCCCCGACCCCTTTTAGCCGTCTCCTTTTTGCTCCCTCTGGCTTCCAAAGGGATAGACTGCACGTTTACAAGAACCAGAAATGGGGGCTGCCTGTCGGCGGAAGAAGCGTGTCAGCTTTCTTCCCGAAGGGGGCGCTAGTGTCCTCCTGTAATCCAAGTTGATATAAACACAAAGTGCAGACTCCTGCTGGTTAATGATTGTCCTGCGCTGGGGACTTTTTGCTCTGAAAATAAATAAAAACATACATTTTATTTTCGGATTATTTAGGCAATTTTCGTAATAATGCTGTGATTTTACTGTAGCATCACAACTCTCAAAAGGACCAGTTTTCTGAGTAAAGATAAAAGATTTTCACGAAACTGAGGAAACTGCAAGGGGTACGGCTTTAGAGTTTTCCTTGCTGTTTCTATATTTGATATTATTTAACTCATTCTTAAAGATCTTAAAATATGTCATTATTATGATGTAATTTGTTATATAAAAGAAAATTTACTCGTTCTGAATCAAATAAGTCTGAATGCAGTGATGCTGCTTATTGGAAGTGTATGTATACTTTCCCCTAATATTTGCAGGACTTTTCTGTTTTGTGTTCTAGCCTTGTCATGAGCTTGGTTGCATTTCCTGGTGAACCAAGTCCCCAGGAGGAAAATAGTCAACCTCACCTATACTGGCAGTGTATTCATAAGCTAAAAGGGTACTGGGTTTGAGTGGAGATAGATACCTTAATAGTGCTTGTATCCATGTGGCTTGTCTGGACCTGGGCTAGAGAGCTGGACACAGATGGATGGAAAGGGCCTAGTCTCTTTGGTAACCATGAGTATTAGGAAGAATTCTTCTGACCTTGCAGGATGAGTTAAAATATGTGGCAAATAAAATTCAGAATAACTTATGAATTGAGTTGAGAATTCATGGTGTTTATCTGCCAGTTTAATTATATATAATGAAGAGAATTTTTTAATAATCAAATTTTAAAAGTAGAGTAACAAAGCACTCTTTGTCGTGCTAGAGAAAACCTATAAGTTATATCTTGAAAAAGTGGAGATAGCAGATAGATCCCCTCATATTTGTAGGCTAATGGATCCACAGCGACTTTCTGAAATGTGCAGCATTGAAAATATTTGGAGATCCCAACTGGAGACCAGAGTCGGAGAAAGGGCCTACTCCATTAGTGATGTCTTTCATGACCATGGGTTTAGAGAAGGATGGAGGTTTTTGTCATCACAGCTGCTGTTGTGAGCAGTGAAAGTCCTGAAGGTATTAGGGGAAAATACACATACACATGTCTCAAAGACACGTGGCCTAAAGTCTTGGTCACCAGCCTGTGGTGCTCTTGGGACTTAGTAGAACCTTTAGGAGATGGGGCCTAGAGTAAGGAAGTTAGGTTTGGGTGGGAGAGAATGCCTTTGAAGAAGATATTGGGACTCTCGCCCCTTTCTATGTCTTTCTGTGCTTCTTGGCAGCCATGAGATGAGCAGGCCACCTCTGCTGTGTGTTCCCACCCTGATATACTCTGCTACCACAGGCCCAAAACAACAACAACAAAAAACCCCACATGATCTTACAAAGAACATTATGCTTCTCTAACAACTTCAATATATAACTTACCCCTGTATGCATGGATTCATCATAGAGGAATACTACAATATTTTATGTATTTAATGAAAAATAAATCACCATTAATAGAAGAAAACCTAGATACCAATGAGGAAAAGAGATAAAATCCCCCAGTGCCTTTTCAGTAAATAAAAGAAACATAAAGTCCCTTAAAGTCTTTAGTTCTTCTGAGGATTCCCTACAGGCAGAATGGCCACATCCCTCCACCAAACACCCCTTGTGTGACTTTAGGCAGATTGTATATCTGCACCTCAGCTGATTCTTCTGTGAAGGAGAAGTAATATTATCAATTGCTTCATTCAGGGCTAAATTAATTTATATGAAGCAGGTAAAACAAATACTTGCATTAAATTTAACAATCCCTCCAAACACTTCCACTCTATATTAGTGTTATTGATGACTGAGAACTTTCTTTTTCAAAAACAAAAAAGACCAACAATTGGTGTTAAAGGATTTGTTTACTCCCCTAAGAGACAGTTGAATAAATGCAAGAAAAATGCATTATTTAATTTACTTTTATTTAGAGACAGTCTGTGAGAAAGACTGAGTTGATATTTCTCCCCCAGCCTGTGGGTTCAGGACCACCAAATAGCTCCAAATCCTCCTACTCACCTCCACAGGTTTCTAATTTTAGAAGTAGCCATTTCCCATTTCTCTCTCAACTTATCCTAATCAAAGCAACTTCTAAGACTGTTGTTATCATAGTTGGAAAGTTTGTTGGGGCTCAGGATGCCTGAGATGAAATTAAGGGCTTTCTGATTGTTTTAGAAAAATGTTGCTCTCTAAAGAATTTTAAAACTTGAGTCTAATCTCCATATTCCACTGCTTCTGTTCTCTTATCAGTGGAGTATCTTTTTTTTTTTTTAATCATTACTAAACTGAAGGGTTCCTGTTTCTTATTTTACTCTTCCTTTGTGATTGTGGGTGGGTAAGAACTTCAGAGCATTAATGAAACAGTTTAGGTAGATCTGCAAAGCAGCAAATTAGAAAACTGAAGAGGTTGCTTGGGGATATCTCACAGTTAAATTTTATTTCAAATATGTGATCAATTCAACCACATGAGCACACTTCTAAATACACATGCACACATACACAGAGACAACTTGAAATTCCAGTTCTTAGAATCTCTATAAAGGTAGCTTTATCATCAGTATTTTAAAGGATCAGAGTGTAGTGTTGATTAAGATTTAGGAAAGAGGATATGTATTACCATCTGGAGGACATGTTTTCACTAGTTTTATAATAATGGGTTAAGTTACTCAAGTTATTCAACCAACCCTGAGTCACCTTCCAGGAAGAAATCTGGCATCTCTGCTTGTAAATCAATTAATCCCTTTTACATCAAAATAAAACAAAAAGTATATGAAGGTAGCTGTTTTAACACTTCTATTTAAAGGCTGTTGTGGTTTATCAGCTTTAATTTTTCACATGTAAGAGCTATCTGATTTTCAAACTTTTGCACCTTTTACAACTACTAATGAGAAGTTTCCTGTATGTTCCTCAAATCTTTCCATCTTTCCCTCTTAGATGATATTAAAGTTCAGATCTGAGGGTGTAGCTCAGTGGTAGAGCATGTGCCTAGCATGTTCAAGGCCTTCAGTTCCATCCCCAGCACTAAAAACAAATTAAAAAAATAATAAAAGAAAAAGGTTCAGGTCTTTCAGTTTAATATCTTTAAGACTTTAGAGATAGTAACTCTATAGTAGCTCACTGTTATGTCCTCTATTGCCCTATGTTAAGACATATGTTAATTAATCACTTTCTACACTTGATCCTATGATGTAAGTGGTTGATATGAGGGGCATGAAGCTAATATACACTCACAGTTGGTGATGCTTTTGTGCAGTCTGCTTTAACAGCCAGAATCCAAGTCAACCAGGAAAATCACTTGAATGAACAGATAATTCAAGAAATGAAATAAAGGACTTTTTAAAATTTAAATAATGTGAACCCCATGTTGGATGGATTTGATGTGGGTCCTACTGTTACAGCAAAGAGGAGAATAAATGTTGTTGGATATACTTTACTGATAATATGATTTTCTTACGAAAGTAACAGATTGCTTTTATTCAATAATTACTCCTCGTTTCTAATACCATGAGAAAAATTTGCTCCACTTTAACCCAAATAAAACTGAAAGAATGATCTTTGAATGATATTTTCTATAATCCAAATGTTTAAACCCAAGGAAGATCTAGCATGAGGATATTTAAATTGAACTTTTACTCTGCCAGCCACTGTACTGTTTTCCAAACATTATTTTATTTAACCCCTACATTCTGTCAGGTTAGAATTACCTCATTTGTCAATGAAAAAGATAAAACTCAGAGAAAATGAGCAGATAGCCAAAGATTGTATTGCAACAGTAAGACATTTCAATTTGCCGGCTAAGAAGGGTTTTGAGAATTCCATCCATAAATGGATGTGTGTGTGTGTGGGTGGGGGGGGTGTAGGTAGATGTGTAAGAGAATTATGCTTTGTTCAGAAGCTTCCAAGGAATTACATTTAATGTTATTAGTGGCCTGATAGAATCAAAAGTGGGTAGAGATTGGTAGTAGGGAGAAGGAGAAGCACCACACTTTGGGGTTCAGAATATTTTGCTCTTGGCAAAAAGTCAACAATTATAAATACTGAGTAGCCCTGAAATGGACCATGAGAGATCTGAAGTGACAGGAGTAATTGCACTGAAATGACATTCAAGTCTAACAAATGCAATTCTTTTAGAAGCTGACCTCTACTTAAACAAGTGGCAGAGAGTGACATTTCCACAGGCCCTGAAAATATGGGTGCTGCTGACATAAATCAAAGAACTATATATAAAGTGGCAGTACAAAGAAAGTGTCCATATGGAGAGACAGTTGTATAGCCAGAGAAATGAGAAGCTGTGCTCCATTTGTGAACAATAAGTAGTTGAAATGCATTCTGCTGTCATGTATTGGGGGCCACAGACAAGTCAAGATGGCACCTGGCACTTTGCCAAGAGGAGTGGTTTGAGAAGTAACACCAGCGAGCCATTAAGATGATGGAGATTCCTTAGTGACTGACTACTGTGTCTAGATTATGTCAATTAAGTTAAGCTGTGTATAATTATTAAGATGATGAGGATTCCTTAATGACTGATTGCTGTAACTGGATGATGCTAAATTGAGTCAAGCTGTGTATTCAGTTATGTATAAATACCTCTGCTGTCCTACAATAAAGCGGCTCCTGCTGTATCAACCTTGACAAGTTGCTTGTCACCCCCCGGTTATTTTGCCCAGCCAGAGTGCGGCAGTCATGTATAACTAATTAGAACAAATAAAAAATAAAATAAAATACCAAAAATAGGTAACTGTTTTTAAAATCATTGTAGAAAATTAGGGACATGAATATTTAAAACAAGCCAATACTATTTCATTTCTTTCATTGTTATTTTGGTGTTGTTGTAGCTGCTTCACAAGCAGGATGACTAAAAACTGGATGATAAAATGACATTCCTAAGGCAAGGAGATTAAGAGAGGTACTTGGGAATTCACTGGGAGCAAGATGATGTGTGAATTTGTTGATTTTTAAGTTTTTTGGCTTTAGCATGACATTAGTAACTCAGTGATAATATGTTCTTTTTATCATAGGATAACAAAAATGATCTAGAAAAGATATTGCATTATGTCTCAAATGGAACATCAAGAGTGGGGCCAGACTCCTGCCTCCCCTTCCCAATTGCACATTCATATGAATGCCCACAAATACATCCATTGAATGCTTGGAGTTACAACACTTCCCACACCCATGAATCTAAAATAAAGTTCTAGGCTGGGGTGTAGCTCAGAGATAGAGTGCTTCCCTAGGGTATGTGAGGCCCTGGGTTCCATCCCCAGCACTGCAAAATAATAATAATGATAATAGTAATAATAATAAAATAAATTACAATATTCAGACTTCCTTGGTTAAACAATTTGTGCAGTTTTAAGGATTTTGCAAGGCTGTACTAACTTACAACTTATATGTGTGTGGTATATTCTAGTGTCCTATGACTGAAGAATGTGTCTTATTTTTTGATCAATTTGCAAATTTCATAACCAGAAATAAGATGCTATTATTGTTTTATTTAGCATCATTTTACTACTGAAATTGAAGAAATTATGTATTTACTAATCAATAGTTTTTCTATTTTTGATGATATTTATTATATTTTCATTCTATTGGTATTTTATTTTTTTCTTATTCATTAGAAGAGGCACTTGAATGATAATATTCTTAATTTTTACTCATGGGCCATTTGCATAAACTTGCTTTTCCTTTTCAGTTTTATTTATGGTTTTTGTGGTATGCTGAAGTTTTTATTTTATTTTATTTTTCAGTCAATTCTGTTGATTTTGACATTGTTTTTCCTTTGGTATCAAACTGTAAAAACCCTTGCCAAGTGATCAGTTTCTTTAAAAAAAAATTAAGATTTTAATTGGAATGGCATTGAATATGTAAATCTTTTCAGGGAAGATCGCTGTCATAGACAATATCGAGCCTTTGAAACCATGAACATGGTATGGATAACCATTAATTTGGATCTCTTAATTTTTTTTTGTAATAGTTTGTAGATTTCAATGTCCAAATCTTACAACTTTATTAAATTTGCTCATTTTAAAAAATACTTAAAAAATTCATTTCATTTTTCATATTAATAAAAATCATTAAATTTTAAAGTCTTATTTTTCAATAGCTTGTTGCTAGTATAAACAATGCAGGCCTGGGGATGTGGCTCAAGCGGTAGCGTGCTCGCCTGGCATGCATGTGGCCCGGGTTCGATTCTCAGCACCACATACAAACAAAGATGTTGTGTCCGCTGAAAACTGAAAAATAAATATTAAAAAAAATTATCTCTCTCTCTCTTTCTCACTCTCTCTTTAAACAAAAAAAAAACCAATGCAATTAGTCTTTTACATTGACCTTTCATCTTATCACGTTGCAAAAATTTATTTTAATAAATAAATAGCATTTTTGCATATTTTCTTGGATTTCTACTTATATTACCCTGTTTCCTAGAAAAACAGACAGTTTTACTTATTTATTAAAATGTTTTTATTTTACTTATTCCTCCTTTTTATCAAATAGAACAGGATTTCCAGTACCTTTGTAAAATAAAAAAAGTAATGAGAATAGGCATTCTTCCTCTTTTTTCTGTTTTGAGAAACGAAGTTTTGGGTCTTTCATTATGAGATAAGATATAAATTTTTCATGAATCTCTTCAATCATGAAATGTTGTCATTTTTGGTTTTGGCTGAGAATTTTTTTTTTTTAATCAGGAAACAGCTTTTAGAACTTCTTATGCAATTGAAAACATTCCATTTTTGTTACTCCCTTAGTTTGTTAATATAGTATATTAATTGATTTTTAAATGTTAAACAACCAACCATTTTTAATAAGCCTCACTTGATCATGATGTGTTGTCATTTAGATATATTATTGGACTTTATTTGCTAATATTTTATCGGGTTTTCCACCTATAATTATGAGAGCTATTGGTATGTAGTTCTGTTTTCTTGAGATTTTTTTTCTGGTTCAGAATTAAGATTGCATTGGTCTTGTGTAAATTGTATAGTAGTCTCTTCTCCTTTATATTCTGTGAAGTGAGTGTTATTTCTTTCTTAATTGCATAGATTCACCAATAAAGCCATCTGGGCCTGGAATTTTCTTCATGGGTACATTTGCAGTTGTGAATTCAATTTCTTTAGTTGATTAAGGGCTGTTCAACTTTTCTATTTATCTTACTTTCAGCTTTCTGTGTTTTTCAGGGAGTGTGTCTTATTTTATACAGGTCAAAACTTATTGGTATAAAGTTCTCAAAATACTATTTTTCTAATGCCTGAATCATCTGTAATCATGGTTCTTTCATTCCTAATATTGGTCATTTATATCTTCTTTTTATCTCTCTATTTTTTTTCTTTCTTTTTTTGGGGGGGGTTAAGTCACAGGAGCAGTGCCTGGGAGAGACTGGGGAGTGGGCCAGAGGGAGCTCTCTGGCTGCGTTGTAACTCCAACCCTGAGTGAAGGCAAGGAGGTTGGGGAAGCATCCTGTACTCTGTTCAGTACAAGGGATGTTTGAAGCTTTGGCAAAGCCATCTGGGCATCATTAAGAATCAGCTGTCGGGAGAGAGTTCCATGTTTCCCCCAGCCAGTCAGCCTCAGTGCTCAGTCACTAGCTATGTGCAGGCTGTGGGGACTGTGGCTTCCCTTTGTTCCATCATAAAAATTCAGTGAGCAGCAGGGGAGACCTCTGTGGTCTGTGAGGTGCATCCTCATGGCTGCCATGTTCTTACCTGTGCCTTCTCAACATCTTGCATTCTGAGGTGGACACCTGTGGCTCACAAAAGATGGTCAATCCTTGTTGATTGAATGAATCCTCAGAATTCCTTAGTAGTCTGTGGGTCTGTGGTTTCTGCCTGCTATCTTCCACATACAGAATTGCTTTGCATTTTAGTTCTGTGTTTACATGAATGGATCCAGATTATCTTCAGAGTTCTACTTCATCAGTATTATTTTACATACCTGAAACTCAAAAACTATATTAATTCATTGATTAACAATCTTTCTTGGCATTAAAAAAAGAAAAAAAAATGGTTGTGATAACTCCTAGAAATAGTTTCCTTAAAAATAAGTAACTTAACATGATTAAGGGCATGACATATGGGAAATACCATTTATCTGATTATGAAGTATTGAATTCTTATTGAGGATCTGTTGTGTTCCTGGTCTGTGTCAGTGTGGGTAACACAGTGGTGAGTAACATTGATAAGCTTGCCTTTTTTTTTTTTTTTTTTGCTTTTTGTTTTTGAAACACATACAATAAACACATAAGTACGTAAGCCAATACATAGAAGAACTAGAATCAGAGACATATTTAATGATGGTTGTGTTAGTGATACCCTTTGTATCACTGTGACCAAAATACCTGACAAGAACACGTTCGAGGAAGAAAAGTTTATTTTGGATTCATGGTTTCAGTGAGTCCATTGCTTTGGGCCTGAGGTGAGGCAGAACATCATGGCAGAAGAGTATGGTAGAGAAAAGCTGTCAGCTTATAGTAGCCAGGAAGCAGAGAGAAACACAGCAAGAAGGCAGAGACAAGATAATAGTCCAAGACTGTGCCCTTAGTGACCTGCTACCGCCAGCCATGCGCAACCTGCCCACAGTTACCACCCAGTAGTCCATTCATATTATTAACCCATCAAATGGGTTATCCACTGATGAGGTTACAGTCCCCATAATCTAATTAATTGCCTAAGAGTCCCACATCTGAACCTTGCTGATTGGTAACCAGGCTTTCAAACCATGAACTTTACAGTGGCAACTAGAGGTCCAAATCTTAACAGTAGTCTTCTGAGGTCTCATTTATCCCATATCATATGTTGGTGTTAAGAAATTAAAGGACCTTCATAGAAACAGCAAGTCTAAAATAAATCATAGCAAAATTCAGAGTTTATGAATCTATAAATAATGATCACATATTTTCCTCCAGATAGAAAACCCTGGCTAATCTTCCAGGAACATTTTCAAGTTTGCATCCCTTTCACAAAACTTTTTGCTCCAAATGAGACAGAGCTCTCTCTAACTTTAATTAGAATTAGACTTATTCATTCATTTATTTTCTTAATCCTTGTTACACTCTTCACTACTCAGCCACTGAGGAAAACAAAGATGAAGAGGGCACTTGCCATATTCATAATTGTTTAATCACCGGTAACAGTCCCTCAGTGACATCTTGCCATTATTGTCTCACCAAGCAATTCTTTTTTTCTTCTATGTCAGGAATTTTCCAAATATGTTTGTAATGCTCTTAATGTGTGGTGAAGAGGAACTGTTAAGGGATAAGACATACATTGCCCAGCTTCAAAAAAAATTTTTTTAAGTCTGTAATTACATACAAAATGTTCATAAATCTGATGTAGATGTCATGTAAAAATTTTCACTATAATCTGCAGGAAATAAATCAAGCGTTAGCTTTTGCACCTGCAAAATGTATCTAAGTTAGCTATCAACAGATTGCTTTGGAGAGTTGATATAATAGATATAAAATGGCTTATTTTCTCCCTTTTAGGAAAGCCTTAATAGACATCAATACTTGAATTCTTTTTTTCCTCATGAAAACTCCTCTGCCTTCTATGGAGTCAATCAGTTTTCTTATTTGCTTCCTGAAGAATTTAAAGGTATGATCTGATGGTACTATTTGTTGATTTATTTACCGATTTTAATTTCTTTGCTTGATTTTTGAGGAATTGTTTAATTGTAAATTGAATAAATAATAGTTGACATTTATTAAATAATTACTGTCAAACATGTGCCGTGAGCTAACCGTAAGATAAATAAATTAATGGCTATTGTCTGTTAATTGAAGCTTAAGAACTAAATATTATATGTATGTCTATGTTATTATAAAGGAAAATTTTTAAGTACCATTTACATTCAGAATACCTTGATTTCTTGGATTATGGCAAGAAATGATTTCAATTATACTCATTTTTGTTATTGACCAGTTTCTATCAAACAAGTCATTTTATGTGTCAGCTCCAAACTTATTATAGGAATTCTCTTCTGTAGCCTTCAGAAGAATGCATTTCATATTATAAAAAAAGAGAGAGGGGAGGGGGAAACCCAAGTGGCAGGTTTACCAAAAATCTATTTTTGCTTGAAAAGATGCTCCAGAAAGAATCCCAAGGGCCCTCCTTATAATAGACTATTGGTTGACTTTTTTTTGTTTCCTGTTTCTATCAGCCATATATTTAAGAAGCGCATCTACCAGGTTTCCCAGATACCCAGCAGAAGTACAGACGCCCATTCCCAATGTGTCATTGCCACTAAGATTCGACTGGAGGGACGAACATGTTGTCACACAAGTGAGAAACCAGGAGATGGTAAGTTTTATATTTTCCTTGTCTTCATTAGTTAAAGGTTGGAAAGTGCCTTGAAGGTCAAGTTCAAACTTATGGTGGATCCATTTATGTGAGTAAAATCGTACCTCCATCATCCAAAAATGACAAAGAAGGGGATCTTTGAGACGTGAGAGGAAGATGTCAATCCCAAGCTTTCCTTCCTGAAGGTAAATCTTCCTTGGTATATTTGCTCATTAATTGCCATTGTCACTAGCATACTATCTCAGTAACTACCCATATTTCACATTTGTTCACCTGTTATAGACTCACAAGTGAAAGGCTGGAGAAGGCAGACCTGGCCACTAACTGAGAGATTCGAAAGGGAGTACAGTATGATCTGAAGAAGTAAAATGAGACTGAATACATTTATCAACAGTCTAGCCAGATCTTCTGGGTTCTCAGCTTCTTCCTATGAGCTCAGATCACACAGCTGTTCATCAGTGCTCTTTACAAGTACAGTCAGTTCATCCATAAGGTGACACATACGTTGCTAAAAATCACCATCTGTGCAAAATTGTCCAACAAAATTGCAGGGATTATGAGAGAAATTAGGTTAGGTTGTGGTGCTTCAAAACTTAGTGCTACATTTTTAAAGCAGATCAGAAACTAATAAACGTGGTAGCACAATTTTATATTTGTTGAATTATCAAGAAATGTATAAGTATTATAATAAATAACCAAGTTACCTTGAAAAAGACCCCACGTGTGTTTGAGGAAATGAGAGTTGGAAGGTCTGCAGCTGTGGGTTATTGTGAAGTGGTAGAAGGAGGGTGATCCCAAATGAGAAGGGAAATGGTAACACTGGCTGTGCATGGGCATGACCTGCAATGCAGGTAGCAATCCACCTTATGCTCCCTGAGTGTGTATGTGTGCTTGGCATTCCTTACACCTGTGCACCCCACCAAAGACACAGGGAATGCAGGCCACCAGGGAAAGTGAAGCCCCAACCACACGGGATATTCTGTTTGTTTACAATGGAAACCTCAACAGGTCATTCAGCCATCCCTTGTGTAAAAAGTATTATGGACCCGGAAGTTTCTCAATGGCTATCAATTTAGAATGAATTTTATTCATTCTCAAATTCAGTATTTATTGCTGTGCATTAAATTTTACGACCAAATCATCTGCATTATGATTGGGTTCATAACAACTCAGTCCTTCCAAGAAGTTTCACATTGTATTGGAGGGGGACTTTTAATTATGAATCTTTTAAAAGGAACCTATTGGAGAGATTTTTGATAGTAGGAGTTGCCTTGTGATTTGACTAAAGCTAGCTATTGGTATGGTGTCAGCAACCTGTACTCACATTTCTCAAGGTTTAGAGATCATACTAAAAGGTCACTTAACAGATGGCACTGGCATCCTAAGGTTGTTCAAAATATCATTCCACAAAGGCACCCAGTTGTTCTTTTTTTATGTTAACTCTATATCACTTGGTTTTATCATTAAGTTAGTTCTGTCCAGTTTAAATTCTAGTGTATTCTTTGCCTTTTCTGTGAATCATCCTCTTTTAATGTGATCCTTAATTGCATTCCTTCTGTCCCCTTCCTTTCTATTAGGATCAGCCCTTTTTATTCTTTTGTTCTTTTTTTGTGAAATGAAAGCAAGCTAATAGACCCATTAATTATCAAAAATGGTAGCCAATATATGGGGAATGACTAATATAGGTTTGTATGATTAGGATATTTCAAGTACATACCTAATGGTATGCATACCTAATAGGTATCTGCTGGCATCTTGATCGTCCTAATAGTAATTCCTTCAACTCCTGTTTCCATTGCACAATGAGTATAACATGCATTCTCATCACTGACTCAACCCTTGGGATGGAGGTGGTGTATGAACAAAGAAGCAGAGCACCCGGGGGGGGGGGGGGAGGAAGCAAGAAGGATTGAGGTGTAGTGTGAAAGTCAGTACACAGCGTCTGGGAGTGGAGCCACTTATAAACAGAAGTTATATGCTCAGTCAATGTACTAGTCTTGGGCTGGGGCTGTAGCTCAGTGGTAGAGTGTTTGCCTGTGTGAGGCACTGGGTTTGATCCTCAGCACCACATAAAAATAAATAAGTGAATAAAGATAGTGTGTCCATCTACAACTAAAAAAAAACTTTAAAAATGTGTTAGTCTTTTAAAAGATCATCAGGCCAAGTGTTTTCTTAATCTCTAATGCTTCACTTTATCTTGCATCATCTGATTTACAATTATGATCTTACTAATTCAGCTTCAATTAAGAGATGTTGATGCTCAAAGAGGATTTTGGTTTTCTTTTCTTTCTCAATTTGAAAATTCAGAGGATGGTCATGTATATTTTGTAGATTTCCAAATTTTGGAACCTTTGCTGGATTTGATAAGTTGTTATATTTAGAAACATTGATAAATTTGACTTGGACATTACTACATAATAAATACAACCTGTCTTTCTACTTTTGAACAGTGTGGAGGATGCTGGGCCTTCAGTGTGGTGGGTGCAGTGGAATCAGCATATGCCATAATAGGGAAGCCTTTGGAAGACCTGAGTGTGCAGCAAGTCATTGACTGTTCATATAATAACTACGGCTGTGAAGGAGGCTCTCCTGTCAGTGCTCTGAACTGGTTGAACAAGGTGACTAGTCTCTCAGCCTTTTGAATCTTGATTTCCTCTTCTCTTGTTCAATGTGTGTTCCAAATTCAATTACTCTCATATATTTAATGTTGTTTCGATATTCAAAAAAGTAGATGACCAAAATTTAAATTAATCAGAGGATCTAAAAAGTACTTGCTCCTAGGAAAATTAGCCATCAAGATATCAAAGGATGAAATATCTTATCTGAAATTTGTTTTCAGAAGGACATTTATGCTTATGTCTAAGCACTCTTTTTGGCTGGGGGTAGCACCTGGATTAAACTCAGTGCACTCAACCACTGAGCCACATCCCCAGCCCTGTTTTGTATTTTATTTAGAGACAGGGTCTCAATGAGTTGCTTAGCACCTTGCATTTGCTGAGGCTGACTTTGAACTCAGAATCCTCCTGCCTCAGCCTCCTTAGCTTCTGGGATCACAGGCATGCACCACCACACCAAGATTAACAATTCTTAATAGGTATTTTTTTGCATGATTGCATAATACATAAGCCCCAGAAAGTAATTAGAGTATATTATTACTCATTTCTTTAAGATTTCTGAAAGTTACAGGGACAATAGAGATCAACTAATTTTGTAACTCTGATGATGAGATGAGACCCGAAGGTCAAGATTATGTTTCCTAGTCAATCACTGAGCCAGAACTGCACTTTAAATCCCCTCCCTCCAATTTCAGGGCTTTGTTCAGTATTCTCAGTTTTATGGATACTCTCTGATATTTTTCCACATCCAACATCAACCACATGAAACGAGCCAATGAGGGTTCTAATATAGTTTTATAAGAACTTGTCAAGCTAGAATTCCCCAAACCCAAGGTCCTTCCATTATACATTTGCTGTATTTTGAATCACTATATGCCAGGATCTGCTGAACATTCAATATGGACAATAATAGAGTGTATGTCCCTTCCTTTCCATTAAGCCTGGCATTCCTAAAGGGAGGATTCAGTAAGACAACCTGAAATGACATGACATATTCTAGAGGAGTGGCAGAAAGAGGAGTGATGGAAAGAATGCTGGGCCTAGCCATCGCCTGTGTATGCACCACTGTGCTAATCTCCAAGACTTGCTGACAGAGTCAGAAGTCCTGAAAGGAAAGTGTGTTACCATAGTTACCATATGGTACCCCCCAAAAAAAGATGATGAGACTTTATTAGCAGATGGGTGCTAGTTCTAAGGAGGAAACATACAAGAGAAACAGGAGTAGAAGAGAAAGAACTGTGCTGATTCTAGTTGTCCGGGATGTCTACAACAAGAACCTAGGATTTAAGATCATAAGAACCCAAAGTGCGCCCATATGATGGTGGTGTGAACATGAGCCTGGTTTGACAACTGAAGTTCTCTTTGATTTTCAAAATAACTAACACATGAACATGTTGGGTGATTGCTTTCTTTTAGACTCAAGTAAAACTGGTGGGAGATTCAGAATACCCGTTTAAAGCCCACAACGGCCTGTGTCATTACTTTTCCAGTTCACATTCTGGAGTTTCAATCAGAGGTTATTCTGCATATGACTTCAGGTAAACATCCTATTTTGGTTTTCTCTATTTTTTTTTTTTTTAGCTATCAGTGAACCTTTATTTTATTTATCTATTTGTGATGCTCAGAATCAAACCCAGTGCCTCACACATGCTAGGCAAGTTCTCTGCCACTGAGCCACAACCCCAGCCCCTCTCTACATGTTCTTAATGTATGATATCCTGGATATTTGGGACCCCTTGATTTTTAAGGACATTACTACATACTCTTAATTACTTTAGAACCTACTTTCTACCAGACAGTCTCACTGGCAGTCATAATGGGGTGTTATAAGATGTTTCTTAAAGGTAATCTTATTTTTCCAGATGCCAGTAAACTAGAAATACCAAATTCAAATTAACAAATTTAAATCAGCTTAAGGTATAATTTATATTTACAGCATACTTCTTACCAAATTTACATGTTATAATGCCATGGGCATATTTCAGTCTTACTGTTGAATCAATTCAAAATCACTTTGTGTAGATTCTCTGGCTAACATCAGGTAGGCTATACACCAAGAAGCACTGTTTGAACACCTTCTATTTTACCAGTATTTCTCAAGGCTTCAGTTATTTAGAAAACTGAAACTTTTTCTGAATATACCAAAATTCTCAGATTAAAAACAAGAGGTGAAGATGTAATACTGAAGATAAATTATGTGGCACACAGTATGAGTGCCATGGGAGTTCCGGCATGGACAAAGATGGGGTGGGAAAGCTCTTGTGTCAGAGACTGAAGGGCAAGGTAACTTTGGGATAGGTTTAGGGGAAAACAGGCCTTAAAGTATGCCTGAAAAACACATGAAAATACAAAGCTGAGCAGAGAATCACTAGGACCATTCAGTGGAGTACGAAAAAAAAGTTCAGGAGCAAAAGGGCCCAGGAAAACTCAGCCACCTCCTGTTTCACTTATGATGAGAAATTTACACCAAATTTTGAAACAAAAAATAGGAAATAAAATGAAATTTGGATTAGATAACTGATCCCAAATATAAAAGAATCTCTTTCTTGATCCAGATGGTATCTACCCATGGGATCTGAAGAAAACCAAGGGTGAAATTAATCCTTGAACAATATGTAAGCCTTTTAAATAAGCTAAGTATGCCAGAGGACTGGCAGATTGTCATGTGGCTCCTGTCTGAACCGGGGCCTGGGGGTAGCTCTGGGAACCACACATGAGACAGCCTTAATTCCACTTCTGGCCAGCCATCTAGCATCTATGATAGAATGTGCAGGCTCACTGTGTACATTGATCACTGTCTCCTTTGGAGGTGAAGGTATGCCCTTCCCAAAGTGAAAAAGTGTTCCTTGGTAATCTGCCAGTTCCTTGAGGTAGAAGGAAATGTGTGCAAAAGGAATTACATTTCTGAAATGTGAGTGGAACAGATCCAGGGGATTCCCTGTTATGGGTAGCAAATTGAAAAAGTTAAGAAGAAGGAAAATAAAATACACTAGTCTGAATTAGCAGGAAGATAAAGAGCATATGCAAATATCACTGGCATTTGATATTTGATTAACAAGGAAGAAACCCTAATTTTTTAAGTATGGGGGGGTCAAATCCAGGGCCTACACACGCTAGGCAAGCACTCTATTGATGAGTCACACACCCCGCCAAAAATATATTTTAACCTTGAGCATTATACTCTCATTGTATTCTGTGATAGTACAATCTTCAGATGATAGCATTAGACTTCAAGAAATAACTCATTGATTTATTCATTCATTCAGATATTTACTGAACATTGTTTAGGTTCTGAGGATTCAGCAGTGAACAAAACGGACATAACCCCTGCTTTCATGAACTATATTTTAGCAATCAAGACAGGCAGTAACAATGATATGTTTGGTGTGTTAATTATAGTAATTTCTCAGAGAAATTAATAAGCTTGTGAGAAAACATTAGAGGGAAATGGAAGTTTGAAATTTTAGAAAATGTTTCCAGGGAGGGCCTCCCTACAAAGGTGACATTTGAATGAATATTTGAAGATGTGTGGCCACATGACCAGGCAGTCATCTAGGCGAATATTGTTTCAAACAGAGACAACCATAAGGGTAAAGTCCTGAGGCAGGGACATGTCAGGTGTGTTTGGAGAATAGTGATGAGACCCAGTGGCCACAGTTAAGAGAAGGACAAAACTCGCATAGAAGAAGAGGTCCTATTGACCACCAAAAAGTGACCTTAGAACAGGATATCAGCAGAATGGTTTTGGAAAGAGACAAAAGGTAGATAACCCATAAAGAGGGTCAAGCCCTATGCAGACTTTATGGTAGGGAGGAGAGAAGAGAGACAAAGAGGATGGAAAAACTAAAAACAAGAGATTTAGAAGGAAATATCAAGCATTCTGCTGGAATGTGTAGGAAGTGATTCCAGGCGACTCTGGTAGGAGGTAGAGAAATGAGACAAACTGGAGAAAGGGCATCTTTGTGAAACTAGTTTGATTGTTGGTGACCTGCTGTTTAACCTGTGAACTCTGGGGCCAAGGCAAACCGTGCTCTATGGAGCCATCCCATCCAGCCAATGCTTATTGGCTTCTAGGATTCCTCAGTTGAGGCGGCAGGTAAGGAGTTGGTTGATTTCCTAGCTCTGTAAGAGACAGAGGCAAAGAGCTCAGGGTCTCCTTGTTGGAAGCCAGCTGGCCTGTATGACAGTGGGGAGGGCCATGGCATGTGGAAGGTCTTCCTAGGCATCTTTCCATAATGTGGCACTTCACCACACATTTCCATCTGAAGTGTGCGTCTGCCTGAGGCTTGAGAGTCACCTAGCTGTTAAACTGTAGGGCTGGGCGAGGACTTGGATCTGTCCAGCCCTTAACCTGTTTCCTCCTCTCTGTTCTTAAGATCAAGAGGTCATTGTTTGCAGGCTTTGAGGAAAATGTCATTTCAGTGCACAGTTCTTAGCCAAAATCTTGATAAAACATCATGCAGAAACTGAAAAGATCTAAGTGTGTGTGTGTGTGTGTGTGTGTGTCGGGGGTGGGGGGATCATAACACAGATAACATCATCTAGTCTAAAAGCAAAATAACCATTCATACTGAGCCTTTGCTTATCAGACCCCAAGAGAGGCATTCCAAAACTCAAAATTAGAGTATGAGAATAACTGACAAATGAAGGAAATTTACTATATAGCAATGGAGAAAATAAAAGAAAAATAGGACACAGTACAGTGCACTGAGTTTTAGGGGAGATGAGATCAGGAAGTGGTGGTGACATGGAAGATGTAGCTTAAGCAACAGATCTTAATGACAATAAAATTTAAGGGAATTTTTTTTTTTTTGGTACAAGGGATTGAACCCAAGGGAACTTAACCACTGAGCTGCCATCCCTAGCACTCTTTTTTATTTTGAGACAGGGTCTCACTAAGTTGCTTAGGACCTCTCTTACTTACTGAGGCTGGCCTCAAACTTGCAATCCTCCTGCCTCAGCCTCCTGAGAATTATAGGTGTGCATCACCATGCCCAGCTTAGGAGAATTCTTTAAAGATTCTATAGTTTCTATAAATTATTGATCTATGAGATGAATAGTGCATGCCTGGAACCAAGGCTTGATTATACACACACACACACACACACACACACACACACACACACACACATATATATATCTATATATCTATATATATATATATATATATATATATGCAACTGTGCATTTTTATATTAGTTGTATATGGGGCTAATCATGGAAATAAAGATGCTATTTGGAATATATTCCGGCTTTCCAAAAGGCAATGTCTTTCTATATGTCAAGTGACAACAATGTCACCCAGTTCCAGGCCCAGGTGGAATGTTTGTCTGCTGGTGGTGACTTGGTGTGTCATCCCATGTATGATTTTTTTAATATCTTTGATAACTCTCTTTATCCTGGCTCAAAGTAGCGATTTTTGCTAGTTATATGTCTGAAGCTACAAAATTAATAATATTTTACATTTAAAAAAATATTTCTCCTTCTTAATCTTTCTGCTTCTCCCTTTGTGTCCCAATAACTGGATCATCTGCATGATGTATCTATAGTGTACCTTTAATTATCTCAAGTAGATGTAAAACACCGGTGTTCTAGTAATACACAAATTATGTCATATGTCATGTTTAAGTTACAAAATATTCAAAGAATTTAAAAACAATAAATTGTACATTATATGCTAAAACCTGTGCTCAAAAGAATTGGTTATTAGATGACATAAATGTGGGAAAGAATGTTTCTTATAAGCTTATTGTATAACTCATTCTAGGCATGTTGCATAACACAGACCATAAAATTATATAATTTTATGCTTATGTTCATTCTGCATGGTGGGTGGAATAACTCCAATGTACAACTGGAATTTGAACTTAGGTTTGGGAAAAGTCAAAGTCTGTATTACTTTTTTAATAAATTTATATATTTTTAAAAAGTAATATCCTATCTTTGCATAATCTTAATTAATACCATTTAGGAGAGCAAAAATTAGAAACACCTGCTTACAAACCTCCAAAAACAAATTTCATGAACAAATGTTTTATCTAATATAATTAAAGGAAAGAAACCTGCTACAAATTAGTCTACAAAAGTAACACAGGACACAGTACAATGCAATCAATTCTAGGGAAGATAAGATGGAAATATACAAAATTATGAAGTGGCAGTGACAGGTAAGATGATAAGATAAATCTGATGAGAAGATTATGTGCACAAATATGAATGCAGTGTTTCTATTTCAGTGAATTCCATTGTTATGCATTCATGATTTTCCTCCTCTGTGTCCTTGCTAGACACTGTCCCCAGCAGGGCAGGAGGAGGGATTATTTATTCTTTAAAGCCATTAATCCACCCATGGCTTGCTGAAGCAATAAGTTACCAAATGCTATCTTAATGGCCTGAACTATCAGTAACTTGGTTTCAGTGTGCTTTACCCACAAAGCTGGTCTTTGAGAAAGGTAAATAATGGTTTGATCACATACTTGCAAGATCAATGAAAGCCAAATGTTGTGTAACATGAAATTGTGCTGGTAGCTGTCCAGAACAATTGTGAAAGCAATAATTGGGTCTTTTGTAGCCCTGACAATTTAGCACTTCCCTAAATCTTAGCACTTTTTCCCTTCCCCCTCTCCCTCCTCTCCTTCCTTCCCCTCCTCCCCCTCCTCATCTTCCTCCTTCTCCTCCTCCCCCTCCCCTCCTCCCTTCTTCTCTCTCTCTCTCTCTCTCTCTCTCTCTCTCTCTCTCTCTCTCTCATCTTCTATTGTATAATTATATTAGCTAGTTTGAGCAAATCTTCCCTATAATTTCTGTATTTGACATTCATTAACATAAATTCATCATCTCTTGATTCTCACATCCTGTGGCAGTCTTTCCAAATATATAGTCTTAACACTTTCATTATTAAAAGAATCCCTGTGTTTTAGCTAGATATGTTGGTGCCAGCTTCAAAAATCTATTCCCTGTCTTCCTTTAGGGCAGATGTATCCATAAAACTGGATTATGGCCAGTGAGATCTATGCATACATGTGCAGAAATGTTGGATGTTATTTCTGGGAAGTCTTCTCAATGGAGGTGTAGCACTTCTTCTCTTTTCTACTTTGTGCTGTTCGAAATATATGTTAAATGTCTGGAGCACCAGCAGCTGTATTGGGCTATGCACAGATGTTGAGAATAGAAATCTCATAGCAGAATAATAATATAAGAAGAATGTGAATTACTAATATCCTGGAGCCCCATACAATCCTGAAATAGTAATCTGTGAGATGACCTTTAGTTTCTGTTGTTTAGATCTTTTGGAATTGGAACTCAGCCTACTCCTAATCATATATGGATCATTTTTATTTTTACCTTAAACATTAAATTATTTACCTAAATAATTCCTCTTTTGGTAGTGACCAAGAAGATGAAATGGCAAAAGCACTTCTTGCCTTTGGCCCTTTAATAGTGATAGTAGATGCAGTGAGCTGGCAAGATTATCTGGGAGGCATAATACAGCATCATTGCTCTAGTGGAGAAGCCAATCATGCAGTTCTTATAACTGGATTTGATAAAACAGGTAAGTGCTAATAAGACACAATTGCTTGCTTTCAAGATTGAACTGTGCCTGATTATGGACAACCCATAGAATATTGAAATTTGATCTGCTGTGTCCAAGAACCACCTTGTCAATGATTTATGTGTAAATTTCCAATCAGGTTTCACCTACCAATTTTTGATAATGACTTTTTCGTTTTGTTTGTGGTGCTGAAGACTTTATGTGGGTCTTGCACATGTTAGACTGGTGCTCTCCCCCTGAGCTACATCCTCATCCTCATAATGATAATGTTCCTATTTAAAGAGTGTGCATTCTCCATCTGAAATATTTAGGATAATTTTTGGGAAAAGAGAAGCAGTAATTAATTTACCACATATTGAGTGATTTTTTCTCTTTCCCTAAATCCCTGGAAATGGTGTATTGTTTTGATTTTTTATTCTATACCATCTGTATTAAGCAAAATGAATTCAAACACATATTTCTACTGATTGGAGTGTGACACAAGTTACAGCTCAAGTTTAACTGACTTACTTGTATTTATATAATATAACATAATGAAAATGATCATATGACATTGATAATCTTTTCCTAAGAAGTACTAGACTTATAGGAAAACAAGATTTAACTACAGAATTCATGCATTCATAGCAAATGTGAGTTTTTGAGAGTTTGTTACCATTTTATGTTTTGTTTTGTAGGAGGTATTCCATATTGGATTGTGCGGAACTCATGGGGAAGTTCATGGGGAGTAGATGGCTATGCCCATGTAAAAATGGGAGGTAATATTTGTGGTAAGTAATGAATTTGTGTTTAAAACTTCAGACTAAATATCACGTAAGGTTCTTTGAAAATATTAAAAATACAAACCTGTCTAGTTTATAGAATGTTTCCAGTGTGCTCAGAGCACTTATCATGGTAATAATTTTCATCCTTTAACCAACTGATGAAAATAAAGAATGTTTTAAAAAGAGGCACTCTTGCACTTATTCACATTTTTATAAAGGAAGAGGACTACACTGAAAATTTATATGTATTATACATGTATATGTCAAAATACAAGATAAACTAATGACTTATTAAAGTCGACTACTTCAAACCACATAAGCGCTTGACTTAGAAACAGAACTCCTCCAGAAATGTCTCCTTGTTCCTAATTTACTTTTTATAACCCTCAATTTCTCCTACTTTTTATCACTATGATTATCAAGAGTCTCTAAGGAAGTAGCTCAGTGTTAGAGTGCTTGCCTAGCATGTGCAAGGCCCAGGGTTCCGTCCTCAGCATGGAAAGGAAGGAAGGAGGAAAGAAAGGGAGGAAGGAAAAAAGGGAGGAAGTCAGGCAAGCACTCAGGCAGAAATCATGATCAATAATTTTTCTTTGTATTAAAATTTGAAAATCTGAGCAATAGTATTGTTTCTGACTTAATTCGTCTGTTCTTGCCTACAAAATTCTAGCAAAACACCTGCTTGAATTGAGAGGGTTAGCCAAATACCAAACATACTTTTTAATTGAACTTAAAAAAAAATTAACCATAGATGAGACTAAAACAAAAAGCTAACTATTTTAAACTGTATTCTTATAACTACATTCAAAACTACATTCTAAAATTTTTGGTTTCGAAAATCAACTTTTCTGAATTAAACTAGGTCCAAACTAATTTGTGTGTGAAAACAATCATCTCTCATTGCAAGTTTTAACATCTGTAGTGTATAACTTTAAAAAAAAAATGCAGAACCTTCGAGATTGTAAGACTGATAAAAGAGTCATAGAAAAATCTGTATGTATGTCAATTCAATCCAATCATTCCATACGTAGAAGCCATGAAAATTAATTATGGCCTGTTCTGTCACCATAGTAAAATGTTTTTCTTAAACTCATTGAAAGGAGCCAGAAGTCTTTTGGCCATAGCACTAGAAATCCATTCAGGCCTCTTGTTTTCTATATCACTGGTGATTTTATATCATTAGAACTGGCAGATAAATTACTGCAGTCATTCTTTGAACCTCTACTATTGATGTACACTATCCCTAACTGTGGAAGTGGGGGCACCTATATTTGTCCAAGCAGTAGCTGTTTTCAAAGCTCTGACAGGAGAGTTGGGAGAACATAATTCAGACATTGGTTCATAATTGCTTCAGCTACCAGGGATGATAGCTTCTATCTGCACTCACAATGTGACTCTCCAGGGGCCTACCTGGCTATTAATTACATGGGGGAATCCATATATCTTTCATAAGAGTACTTCCTCAAGTTATAGACTATATGAAGGTCATAGAACTCTAGTGAATATTGGTGTAAAGCAGATAGTATTTTATAGCCTCAAGAGATTTTCAAAGATGTGGTAAGTTACAATGAAATCCGATCTTCAAGTAGTCCATTTATTACATTCACCATGATGTTGAGATCTCTGTTTTTTTTGTGTTAAAAAAGTAGAGGACACTTGTTACAAGTTCAAATCTTAGTTTAAAAGTTTAAATTATATTTAAAATAATATCATAAGTTATTTTGTTTCTTTTGAGAAATACATATTAGTGCAATGGAGATCTTAGATGCATTCAACTATTGAATTAGCAAATCTTTCAGTTATTTTGTTTTGTTTTCGTTTAGTTTCTTGAAACAAATATATTAGGCATCTCTTCTAATATGAACTTTTGAGATTGTCATTCTTTGCCTCCATTACATTATTTTCTTGGTAGATACTAACTCATTCTAACCCAAATGACAACTAAGTTTTAATTTGCTGTTTAAAAGGTATCTGAAGAGGGAATAGGCAAGTAGTAATAATTTCTTTTTTTCCCCCCTTAGGTATTGCAGATTCAGTTTCTGTTGTATTTGTGTGACATATTGGAGACATCAGGAGATAGCTACAAAAATGAAGATTTTCATAATGCAATGTAACATTCTAAGCATCACTCAGCTTCAAATTTAGCAAGTACCTACAAAATGCTATCGGGCCTAGTAGTATTGAATTTACAGAATGTCTGTTCTTTGAGATACACAGACAACTAAAGTCTGAAGGAGTTCCAGTGCCTCAGCCTTTAGGGGAATTTATGAAGCAAGCTGGGGAAGAAGATCAGATTATGAAAAATTTTAGATCCCACCACATCTGAACAAACTACTGTTTGTTTTGGTTTGCTTGCTGTCTTTCTTTTTTTTTATCATTGTTGTCTGATTATTTTTAATGAGGTACTTTGATTAGGTGAAATCAAAGAGACTCTAAGAATTTGTTTTCCTTTGTGGGATATAATCACTAGCCTTAGATTACCCCTATCTACACGAATGGCTGACCTAAAGTGAGGCAGGTGTGCCGTTCACAATTATACTAGCAACTTTTTGAGATGGAATATCATAAAGACTCAAAATACCAGGTGCTTTTCCTCATCAAATGGTGCTTATCCCTTGAACAGTAGAAGGACCATGTGCAAGGAAACAGAAGACCAATCCCTTCCTAAAAGAAACAAACTGAAATTCAATGACCATTATGGAAACTGGGAGGTCAGAAGCCTCAAGTACCACTCCCTGCCATGCTGGAATTTTCTTTGCCGGGAAATTCTTATTGTTGAAAAGAATCCAATAGATTTAACTTCTTACTTTTTTCTAACTGTATTAGAGAACAAAGTATTTTCCTACCTATTCACTCTCTCTTAGTCTTTACTGCACAATTCCCACATTTTTCTCATGGTTTAATGCACTTGACTAAAGAAGTTGCCCTCAATGTTTACCTTCCTTTTCTATTTTCTAATCACTTGGCTCCCTTGGGGTCTGGGTTTTTATCCACATAGGCTCCACCTCTTTCTTTCTCCCATGATTCTGGGCACCTCTCCTCTCAAGAGTCCTATCTCCTAACCCAGCCTGTCAGTCAGAATGTGAGCTTCCCAGGCCCTCTGACTTCTAGTTTTTCATTTAGTTTTACTGGTCTCCCATCCCAACTGCCTCTTTGTGTTTCCCCTTGGCGTTCACTTGGCTCCTGGATCTTAATGCCCCGTGATCATTCTGGTGTCATTAATTACATAAGTGATTTCAGGTGCTATGCTGCTAATGGGGTCATGATTAACTTGTGTCCTCAGCAGTGATTGATAAATCTGTGTGCACAGAAGGGACAAAAAAAACTGTGTGCAGCTCCTACTCTGCAACCAGGAAACCAGCTACTCCTTGTATAGCAGTGTTAAGAACCTCATAGTAAAAGAGCTGATCTTCCGATTGAATTTTAAGTAGAAATTTTTTTTAAACATCAAAGTAATAAATCGTATCAAATATACACTGGTTACCCATTTCTTCTCTCAAATCCGTGATTGCTTTTTATTGCAGAAGATGTTGACAAAAATTTAAAAAATTCTAGGACATCTCATTTTTCCTCATTTTTTGTCCTTTATCGTTCTCCTTTATTAAGAAAAAAAAATTTGTTTACTTACACCAGAAGCAAACACAAAAGAACATTGTGGACTTGTTTAGAAATATTACAGGAGGGAAAATATTTACATTTCAGTCGACAAGTATTCTAATGATCAAGTAAGCTAGGAAGGAATTGTTTTTGCTGATCTAGTTTGTGTCAGGTTACATATAATATAAATGCTTTGCTAATATTCTTTTTCAAATACTAAGGGATTTTTACAATTTCAAAATGACTAATACTTCTCAGCTGTTCTGGAATTTGATAACATTAATAAAAAAGCTATATTTTTGATCTTGGGTTAAAAAGATATTTTCTTAAGTGTATGACTAACATTTTGTCAACGCAGTATTAATGTGCTTTACATTCACACACAATTTTCCAAACTCCAAAGACATATATCCAATTTTTGGTTTTCTCCATAAACAACTTTAACCTCAGTGCCTCCAAAACTCCATCCTCCCTGTCAGTAAATAAATAAATAAATAAAACAACCAAAAAACTCCTTTTCCTGGAGTTTTGGTCAAGGGTATCGCTACTATGTAATCACCAAATCAATAAATTTAAAAGAAATCCTACATATTCAATCAAGTAAACTACACTTTGGAAACCCATACTTTCCTCCTCTGCCATCTCTCCATTTCTGTTGTCCTTTGTGAAATAAATGGTCTTTTAAAATCTCTTAACACCATTTTTCAGTAGTCTATTGTCAACCTAAAATAACAAGCAGAAAGAGATTCTTCAAAGATAATGAATTTGTTCAGGAATGGAAATTGTAATGGCCAGATGTGTGAGCATATCTTCAGGGGCAAAGGAAAACAAGGGTTTTTAGAGGTAAAAGGAAGAAGATTAAATTACTTTGAAACAATTATCCTTGGCTACCAGAGTCAGTAACAAAGGAGGCATCAGTCCAAGGTTAACAGTTACTGTGCAAATGTCCTCACAGAAGTACTTTTGCACAGAGTTATGGTAACATTTCATGCAAGATGGTGGTCCTGGAAGAGCGTTTTGATAGTTTTGTTATTAGGCATAGATCCATAACACACTTTATTACCTCATTATCTTGTACAAGGTAAAAAGTATGCAAATAGTTGTCATACTATATTGTTTGGGAATGATGACAACAGAAGAACTATACATGTTCAATACAGATGAAAAATATTTTTATATTTTCAAACTGCAATTGCTTGTATCTGCAGATGCAGAACTCATGGGTATGGTCAAATTAATAAATAATTTAAAGACAAACTTAGAGGATATGATCTTTTTAAGAAAAAAAATCTTGTAATTGAGATCAAAGAATAGTTCTGTTCCATCAAGAATTACTGCTTGCTCTTGCTAGAGATAATCCATGTACATTAAAATTGATATACATTTCATTTTTTTTTATTTTTTTGCTACCAGGAATTGAACTCAGAGGCACTCAACCACTGAGCCACAACCCCAGCTCTATTTTGTATTTTATTTACCCCATGGTTTCCAGGAATATCAAATGATAGGAACTGAGTTCCTTAGCACATCACTGTTGCTGAGGCTAGCTTTGAACTTGCAATTCTCCTGTCTCAGCCTCCGGAGCTGCTAGGATTACAGGCGTGTGCCACTGTGCCTGGCTGATGTACCTTTTAGATTCCTTTGAGAAAATTATATACTACTTCCCATAACATAAATTTAACTGAATACTGTCAATATTTGAACAAAATTTAAAAAGGAAAATGAAAACATATATGATATGTAATCACCAAATCAATAAGTTTAAAATAATGATTCATTTAATATTTTGAATTAGATTTGAATGAGGTCATTATTTAGTCTGTTTACATCTCTTTTCTTCTGGAAAGAACATTCTTCTTTGGGAGAACATTTTGCTGTATAGTAGAGTTGACTGTATCTCCCACACCATGGGCCCTGGAGCTGGGGAAAGGTACACTATTGCTCTGTTGTGGTCCAAATGGTTGAGAGTTGGGACACAGCCTGAGGAAGGAAGTGGTCTCCAACAGGAAAGACTAGAGCTAACATCCACATAGAAGAGACAAAGAGTTCCCAAGGTCTCCAGGAATATCCCATGACAGAAAATGAATCCAGTTCCAGACTCTTTTGAATTCTGTGAGTAAATGGACTAAATGTCCAATGGATCCCCTCTAGATAAGTGTCAGGTAAATGTCTGTTATAGGTCATCAAGAATGTTAAGGAAAACAATGTTTCAAAAATAATATACAATGAAAGACTAAATTTATTATTTTTGAAGTTTTGTTTGAATTAATTTTGTACAGAATGACACTTATTACATAAAATATCAGAAAAAGCTGGTTTACAAGTTATGAAGTATGAGGTAAACAGAATGATGATATTCAGTGATTACATTAAAGAAAGTATCAGGAGAAACTGAATTTTTAATAGGAAAACACCTGTGTACAATATTACAATTTAACTCAATTATTTCTTATTTTAATGGTTAAATCTTATCATTACAAACATGCAGTAATAAAGTCTTTTCCAGAATTTAATCAAAACACCATGCTGCAAAACTATGTATACAAAAATACTCTTCATGCTCATGAAAGTGTAGAAAATAAAATATAGACTGATAAAATTATTCAATGATATTTCAGATGACTTTAATCTGATTCATCACTGCTGAAGTAAGAGCTGTCACAGTATTCAGCTGTGTAAAGGAATTTATGAATGATTGGGTTCATCTTTGGTATCCAGTGTCGGGGAACTAGATATGTTGAAAGATTAAATAAATCCACAAACACCTTGTACCTGTCACTGAAAAAACATACATGTAGATGTGTTAGATTTGTTGTCATGAAATATTTAAAATTTGCACCCCCAAATTTCTTTCCTCAAATATTTTTCATTAAACAGTTAATATTCACTACCACATATTGCATGTTATATATTCCATATGTATCATATTAGTTATTATGTAGTATTTAGTATTAAGATTACTTAGTTTAGAAATCATATCTAAAGATTATTTTCATAAAACAATATTATATATTCAGTAGATTAAGCCCAGAGTGATACAGATGAAAATCTGGAGTCATTACTTTCATGCTACCATTATAAGGACAAGGGTGTGTTCTTCCTATTTTTAAAGGATGGTACACAAAGTGATTTATTTAAAAGCATGCATTCTTGGTTGTTCATGGAAGAGTATTTCCCAACTGCAAAAGGAGCCACCCTGTAACTGCCATGAACAGAGTAATAAACTAAAACACCTTCTTGGATTGATTAAAATGTCTATAGAAGTGGTTTTTATGTTAAAATTGCTTTTGCATTCTTTAGTGAACTATTTTAATGGTTGCACTTTTATAGACAAAGATATTTGCTTTGAAGTCAAATAAACATGGGTTTGAATTCTGGTTCTGTCACCCCAACCCATTGGGCCTTGGACTTGGTGTTTAAACATCAGTGTTCCAGTTACTAACTGTAAAATGAAAAACACAATCCCTTGGTTTGGCCAGATCTTTTTGAAGATTAAATGAGATGATAACACACTTAGAAATACTACTATGTGTGTTCATTATTCCCAGCACCTACTGATGTATGTGCTAATTTTCTACAGACAACTAGTATTTCATGCATACAGAAGTTATTCCCATGGAAAATGAAAATATATAAAATGTATAATCACAGTTTCAACCTGTGCATTTTATAAATCAGCCAATCAGGTAGTAAGATTCGGGATAAAAGCAATGTACTATAAAAAAAATGCAGGGACAAAAATGTGAATGTCTAACTTATTGAGCTGATTCTTCTTTTCCACAGAGCTGTTTCCTCATTTTTAGGTATATCTGCGTGCGTATAGTATACATCTATCTATAATAATGAGCATATTAAATAAAATAAGAAGGCAATTGTCTTAAAACCTGCTCATTGTGTTTTTAAGACCTCAATAAATATTGACCTCTTTCTCTGTAAAGACTGTGGAAAAAGAACCCTCTGGAGTAGCTGAAAGTAGCTTCACAATATAAAACAGAGTTGTATCAGGAAACAAGGAACTAGTCTAGCTGTGTTATTTATCTGACCAAGAAAATATTAGAGGAGTTAGTGATGAAAGTTTTAGTGTAGTTAAAGATTGAGCTAGAATGAATTGAAGACTTTTCTTCCTGGACAAAAAGACTGTTAATTCTTTTATGTTCTCACTAATCATGCAGCCCTGGGTAGCAACACTCCTTTTCATCACTGGACCAAATGAGTGAAGCTTCATAATTGAGGATTTTACACAATTACGTTCGAAGGATCAGTAGGAATATAATCATCTAACTACAAATGTGTTTTTAGCAGTTTAGACAGGAACAAACACAAATGACTTTTCCTAGCTAATGGGCATAGATATGGAGAAACAAAGGACTGGTGACTTCCACCAGATGAGAAGAACCCCCTAGGCCCACTCACCTCACGGTTGAGCGCAGGTACTGATAGCCCGAGGAACCCCCAGTGCCAGCTTTGCTGCCCAGCATTCTGTGCACCACGCACACATGGTTATCTAGGCAAACACACAAATTTACTCCATGAATGTTTTTCTGCCATTAGTTCACCATGTTCTCAAAACAAGTGTTGGTAATGATTATTTCTGAAGAAAGGCTGACACTTGTAATCACTTAGCCATATGGGAGGTTCACCTGTGGGAACCAGCGAAACAGTAAGGTTGCCTAGCACCCCACATAGTTTAGGCTACATGCATTTCACTCCATCCATCATTGTAGTTAGCCTGTGAAAAGAATACAAAGGGCAAGACCACATAATGACTTTCATGAGTCTATGCCAATTTTGCCTTATGGGTCTCTATTTTCACTCAAAAAATAAAGATAATTAAAATTATATTTTAAAATTGCATTGACATAAAGATAAGCATATTACTATTAAATATTACAATATTTTATTTGACCTAAACTTCACTTTTTTTTTCTGATTATAAAATTGAAACATTTTCTTGAACCCTCAAAAATATTGAGTAACCAATCAGAATGAATTGGAGAATAGAAGGAGGACTTACATCTCCATTTGGTCATGAGACTATCTATGTCCATAAGGAATGTCAGCAGCTGAAAAGGAACCTGGAATCTAGGCTCTTCCCTGAAGGAGAAAATAATAAGAAGATATCTACCCAAGAAAATTCATGGCTTAAGAATGTATGAGTTTTATAATTAATAAGTTGGCTCTGGCAGCAATGTCATATTTGCCTAATAGGATCCGTAGCATTTTTGGATTATTCTCCTGGTTTCTGTTTCTTCATCTCAAAAATGGAAATAACAATACTCACTTTGCAGTATTTGTTTGAAATCTAGAAAGTTCCAGAAGTATACACAAAACAACCAGGAAGAATATAGATTCTAATTAAAAGAAACATATTTATACTACGTCATATTTCCCAGCTAGTACAGGTCAAAAGCTTCTAGGAAATACATACACACAAAACACACACACAAATGCTTTTTATTTCCTATATTTGTTTTCTCATTTTCACCTAATCCTTCAACTTTCTCAGAGCATTTTTTACTTAGGACATCTAAGTTTCAATCATATATATGTATTTCCAGTTTAGGAAAAGAGCTTAAAGGTTTTGTTTATGCTGACACTCTGAAGAAACAGATTTGAGAGGATATTAAAAATTAAAAGAGCCAGGCACGGTGGAGCATGCCAGTCATCCCAGGTACCCAGGAGGCTGAAGCAGGAG